ACATGACGCGCTCAATAATAATACTGAGCATCTATACCCTGATAATAAACATGTCGATCTGTATAATAATACTGAGTATCTATACGCTGATAATAATCATGTCGCTCTGTATAATAATACTGAGTATTTATACACTGATAATAAGCATGTCGCTCTGTATAATAATACTGAGTATCTATACACTGATAATAAGCATGTCGCTCTGTATAATAATACTGAGTATCTATACACTGATAATAAACATGTCGCTCTGTATAATAATAATAATACTGAGTATCTATACGCTGATAATAAACATGTCGCTATGTATAATACTGCGTATCTATACACTGATAATAAACATGTCACTCTGTATAATAATACTGAGTATCTATACACTGATAATAAACATGTCGCTCTGTATAATAATAATAATACTGAGTATCTATACGCTGATAATAAACATGTCGCTATGTATAATACTGCATATCTATACACTGATAATAAACATGTCGCTATGTATAATACTGCATATCTATACACTGATAATAAACATGTCGCTATGTATAATACTGCGTATCTATACACTGATGATAAACATGCCGATCTGTATAATAATACTGAGTATCTATACGCTGATAATAAACATGTCGCTCTGAATAATAATACTGAGTATCTATACGCTGATAATAAACATGTCACTCTGTATAATAATACTGAGTATCTATACGCTGATAATAAACATGTCGCTCTGTATAATAATACTTAGTATCTATACGCTGATAATAAACATGTCGCTCTGTATAATAATACGGAGTATCTATAAGCTGATAATAAACATGCCGATCTGTATAATAATACTGAGTATCTATACGCTGATAATAAACATGTCGCTCTGTATAATAATACTGAGTATCTATACGCTGATAATAAACATGACGCTCTCTATATTAATACTGAGTATCTATACCCTGATAATAAACATGTTGCTCTGTATAATAATACTGAGTATCTATAAACTGATGATAAACATGTCGCTCTGTATAATAATATTGAGTATCTATACGCTGATAATAAACATGTTGCTCTGTATAATAATACTGAGTATCTATATGCTTGTGACAGAACCATCTGTCTGCTTGGATTTTTACCACGTTCGTCTGTTTGTCCCCCGTTCGTATGAATGGCTGGTTTCTATAGCCCAGCCATTTGAATGACTCTTTTTCCCGAACAAACCTGCCGAACGAACGGCCACCCAAGTGAGGAGTGTGCTGCTGGTTAACAAAGTGATCCCAATTAGAACGTTGTTGTTAACCGCAGACACTTCTCAATTAAACCGAATTCAGGGTGGTCGTCGTTCGTATGTCGACCACGAGGCAGCGGCCATTTTAAATCACGCGAATGCCCAGCGGTGTTTGGCTCTATTTCTATGGAACTGAAAACGGACACTTTTTCTGCCGAACACCGCTGAAACAAGGGAACGCCTGGCTGCCTCCACGAAAGCATGCGAACACCGGCCGTTCGGGAGATTGAGAGCATACAAAAGACTTAACCCAGATAGCCCTCCCATGGAGTCATTCGTATACCGAAAGACTGTAAGAACTTTGACTCCATGGCGATTGAACTATGTGTGTGGGATCTGAGCGCTATTCGCTAATAATATGCACTCAGATCCAGGCTATCTGGGGACATGTAATACGAATGGGAAATGTTCAGTTTTCATGTAGTTATGTATTTTTATGTCTTTTATTATTTTATGTCTAAGATGGCGACTGTCCTTGTCCTGGAGTTAATTGAGTTACTTGGTAATTAACTCCAGGGCAGAGGGGAGGGAATCATAATGCACTGTGGGTAAAATCTGTGACTGTGTGTCTGGAATGTCCCCATATCTGTCTGTACTTTAAGTCTCCCATTTGGTCCCCTAGGGGAGTGTCCACCAGGTGGGAGACCTGCATAAATACAGGCAGGTAGCCCACAGTAAAGCCAGATCCTGTTTGACCCTCAATGCGGAGCTTCTGTCTCGTTATTGGGGGGATTTCTTCTTCACGTTTAGAGACTGCTGGATGGAACGGAAGCCGCTTGGTGAATATTGCTGTTCAACGGTTGCCAGCAGTTCGTGTATTGCCATTCGGGAGTTTGGAGGTGTCTTAACAAGTATCTATACGCTGATAATAAACATGTCGCTCTGTATAATAATACTGAGTATCTAAACACTGATAATAAACATGTCGCTCTGTATAATAATACTGAGTATCTAAACGCTGATAATAAACATGTCGCTCTGTATAATAACACTGAGTATCTATACACTGATAATAAACATGTCGCTCTGTATAATAATACTGAGTATCTATACGCTGATAATAAACATGTCGCTCTGTATAATAATACTGAGTATCTACACGCTGATAATAAACATGTCGCTCTGTATAGTAATAACGAGTATCTATACACTGATAATAAACATGTCGCACTGTATAATAATACTGAGTATCTATACGCTGATAATAAACATGTCGCTCTGTATAATAATACTGAGTATCTATACGCTGATAATAAACATGTCGCTCTGTATAATAATAACGAGTACCTGTTATGTTTGATGATAGCTGGCTGTTGTGCAGATAATTCCCCCCAGCACTTTGTATACAGACAGATACTCAGCACTCTCTTATAGCTGATCAGCATGGAGGAGTATTAGATTAGGGACACACTTAGTCCTGTCCTGGAGAGGAAACAAAGAAGAAAAAGGAACCTTAAGTTACAAAAAGTTAGGAAAGTTACAACTTCCGGAATGTATAGAGGGATGGGAGGGGGTCTTGAAACTAACCCAGCAGGAAGTGAAGATCACAAACCAGACATTCTTTTATTACACAGACTGCCATACAATACACAGAGCTGGGTACAATACAGAGCCTGCCATACAATAAACAGAGCTGGGTACAATACAGAGACTGCCATACAATACACAGAGCTGGGTACAATACAGAGACTGCCATACAAACACAGAGCTGGATACAATACAGAGACTGTCATACAATACACAGAGCTGGGTACAATACACAGACTGCCATACAATACGCAGAGCTGGGTACAATACAGAGCCTGCCATACAATACACAGAGCTGGATACAATACAGAGACTGTCATACAATACACAGAGCTGGGTACAATACAGAGACTGCCATACAATACACAGAGCTGGGTACAATACAGAGACTGCCATACAATACACAGAGATGGATACAATACAGAGACTGCCATACAATACACAGAGCTGGGTACAATACACAGACTGCCATACAATACACAGAGCTGGGTACAATACAGAGCCTGCCATACAATACACAGAGCTGGTACAATACAGAGCCTGCCATACAATACACAGAGCTGGATACAATACAGAGCCTGCCATACAATACACAGAGCTGGGTACAATACAGAGACTGTCATACAATACACAGAGCTGGGTGTCACGAACGCACACTACTCCAAGAGTGCGCGTGACTTAGTTGTGGTTGTGAAAGGGTTAACGTTCACTATTTGTCTGCACTAGACCGGAAATAATGACAAAATCCCCCTTTAACACCACCCACACTTAAACATAATATAACAATTTAACGCTGCCACCACCAAGACAATTTATAAATGGGGTGCCTTGGTCCCCCAGGTAAATCAATAATAAAACCCACCAAATATTACTTAGCACAATATTTAAAGAATTATAAAAAATACTAACTAGTCTCTTCAGGTAACGTGATTCTTAACCAGACAAAGGCAGAACTTAATAAATGAATGTTTATTATGAGCAAAAGATAGTCACAGTGCATATAAAAATATATGATAAACAAATTATTTACACCAACAACAGATAAAAACAAAAAGGATAAAATACAGAAGTCCTAATTACTCACTTAGGTTTTCAAAGTACAACTTCTGTCCAGGGGGTCTCTGGCAAGGAAAGATGGTGACTCACCCAAAATTAGATCTTGGCCCCAAGCAAGTACACCAACACCCTTCAGGATCATTAGATATATACCCTGTGGTTTATCAAGTCTTGCCCAGGGGTGGAGTTAAGGCGTACCTACAGAAATAATAACTGACCACCTCCTTTGTTCCAGACCACTGTCAATCCAAATGGAAACATTTGACTCTATCTTCTTTTTTGTACCTGCCACAGAAATAATAATTGCATCTACAAATTTGTTATTCTTTTCCCATTCCATAGACATGTTGCACGTCCCACCCACGATCCAATAGGACGGACATCACAATTCCTTTCCCTAGGGTCAAGTTAGGCCACTCATGTTTGGACTTGGTTAGAAGATGGCTCTTGTCACATTCCAAATATAACAAAAATGAGGCTTTATTATTATTCTGTGGGGGTAAATATGAATGTTTTTGCCCTTCATTTGGATATGATACTAGAACAAAGCTAATGGCATTTACATATCAAAGAGATTTACTCATCACTTACAAGGTACATGACAAATGGATGAAGAGACATTCAGACTTTTTCCAAGTGTAGAACCTCACACCTTGCAGACTTCACATCCATATAGTAAAATCCTTTTCACATTCCTATGCCATTCACACTACCCCTTCTGTCATCTGACCTCTGTGGGGGGTCCCAGCTTCAAAAGATGTAACCCCTGTTGACCTCAGCAATAGCATCTCTGTAATTTGTGCCATTTACTACAAGAAATCACATTAAAAGATGATATTCCATAGTGTCATAATAAATTATACACCCTTGCCGTGACACTGGGTACAATACAGAGCCTGCCATACAATACACAGAGCTGGGTATAATACAGAGACTGCCGTACAATACACAGAGCTGGGTACAATACAGAGACTGCCATACAATACACAGAGCTGGGTACAATACAGAGCCTGCCATACAATACACAGAGCTGGGTACAATACAGAGACTGCCATACAATACACAGAGATGGATACAATACAGAGACTGCCATACAATACACAGAGCTGGGTACAATACACAGACTGCCATACAATACACAGAGCTGGGTACAATACAGAGCCTGCCATACAATACACAGAGCTGGTACAATACAGAGCCTGCCATACAATACACAGAGCTGGATACAATACAGAGCCTGCCATACAATACACAGAGCTGGGTACAATACAGAGACTGTCATACAATACACAGAGCTGGGTGTCACGAACGCACACTACTCCAAGAGTGCGCGTGACTTAGTTGTGGTTGTGAAAGGGTTAATGTTCACTATTTGTCTGCACTAGACCGGAAATAATGACAAAATCCCCCTTTAACACCACCCACACTTAAACATAATATAACAATTTAACGCTGCCACCACCAAGACAATTTATAAATGGGGTGCCTTGGTCCCCCAGGTAAATCAATAATAAAACCCACCAAATATTACTTAGCACAATATTTAAAGAATTATAAAAAATACTAACTAGTCTCTTCAGGTAACGTGATTCTTAACCAGACAAAGGCAGAACTTAATAAATGAATGTTTATTATGAGCAAAAGATAGTCACAGTGCATATAAAAATATATGATAAATTATTAACACCAACAACAGATAAAAACAAAAAGGATAAAATACAGAAGTCCTAATTACTCACTTAGGTTTTCAAAGTACAACTTCTGTCCAGGGGGTCTCTGGCAAGGAAAGATGGTGACTCACCCAAAATTAGATCTTGGCCCCAAGCAAGTACACCAACACCCTTCAGGATCATTAGATATATACCCTGTGGTTTATGAAGTCTTGCCCAGGGGTGGAGTTAAGGCGTACCTACAGAAATAATAACTGACCACCTCCTTTGTTCCAGACCACTGTCAATCCAAATGGAAACATTTGACTCTATCTCCTTTTTTGTACCTGCCACAGAAATAATAATTGCATCTACAAATTTGTTATTATTTTCCCATTCCATAGACATGTTGCACGTCCCACCCACGATCCAATAGGACGGACATCACAATTCCTTTCCCTAGGGTCAAGTTAGGCCACTCATGTTTGGACTTGGTTAGAAGATGGCTCTTGTCACATTCCAAATATAACAAAAATGAGGCTTTATTATTATTCTGTGGGGGTAAATATGAATGTTTTTGCCCTTCATTTGGATATGATACTAGAACAAAGCTAATGGCATTTACATATCAAAGAGATTTACTCATCACTTACAAGGTACATGACAAATGGATGAAGAGACATTCAGACTTTTTCCAAGTGTAGAACCTCACACCTTGCAGACTTCACATCCATATAGTAAAATCCTTTTCACATTCCTATGCCATTCACACTACCCCTTCTGTCATCTGCCCTCTGTGGGGGTCCCAGCTTCAAAAGATGTAACCCCTGTTGACCTCAGCAATAGCATCTCTATAATTTGTGCCATTTACTACAAGAAATCACATTAAAAGATGATATTCCATAGTGTCATAATAAATTATACACCCTTGCCGTGACACTGGGTACAATACAGAGCCTGCCATACAATACACAGAGCTGGGTATAATACAGAGACTGCCGTACAATACACAGAGCTGGGTACAATACAGAGACTGCCATACAATACACAGAGCTGGGTACAATACAGAGCCTGCCATACAATACACAGAGCTGGGTACAATACAGAGACTGCCATACAATACACAGAGATGGATACAATACAGAGACTGCCATACAATACACAGAGCTGGGTACAATACACAGACTGCCATACAATACACAGAGCTGGGTACAATACAGAGCCTGCCATACAATACACAGAGCTGGTACAATACAGAGCCTGCCATACAATACACAGAGCTGGATACAATACAGAGCCTGCCATACAATACACAGAGCTGGGTACAATACAGAGACTGTCATACAATACACAGAGCTGGGTGTCACGAACGCACACTACTCCAAGAGTGCGCGTGACTTAGTTGTGGTTGTGAAAGGGTTAATGTTCACTATTTGTCTGCACTAGACCGGAAATAATGACAAAATCCTCCTTTAACACCACCCACACTTAAACATAATATAACAATTTAACGCTGCCACCACCAAGACAATTTATAAATGGGGTGCCTTGGTCCCCCAGGTAAATCAATAATAAAACCCACCAAATATTACTTAGCACAATATTTAAAGAATTATAAAAAATACTAACTAGTCTCTTCAGGTAACGTGATTCTTAACCAGACAAAGGCAGAACTTAATAAATGAATGTTTATTATGAGCAAAAGATAGTCACAGTGCATATAAAAATATATGATAAATTATTAACACCAACAACAGATAAAAACAAAAAGGATAAAATACAGAAGTCCTAATTACTCACTTAGGTTTTCAAAGTACAACTTCTGTCCAGGGGGTCTCTGGCAAGGAAAGATGGTGACTCACCCAAAATTAGATCTTGGCCCCAAGCAAGTACACCAACACCCTTCAGGATCATTAGATATATACCCTGTGGTTTATCAAGTCTTGCCCAGGGGTGGAGTTAAGGCGTACCTACAGAAATAATAACTGACCACCTCCTTTGTTCCAGACCACTGTCAATCCAAATGGAAACATTTGACTCTATCTCCTTTTTTGTACCTGCCACAGAAATAATAATTGCATCTACAAATTTGTTATTATTTTCCCATTCCATAGACATGTTGCACGTCCCACCCACGATCCAATAGGACGGACATCACAATTCCTTTCCCTAGGGTCAAGTTAGGCCACTCATGTTTGGACTTGGTTAGAAGATGGCTCTTGTCACATTCCAAATATAACAAAAATGAGGCTTTATTATTATTCTGTGGGGGTAAATATGAATGTTTTTGCCCTTCCTTTGGATATGATACTAGAACAAAGCTAATGGCATTTACATATCAAAGAGATTTACTCATCACTTACAAGGTACATGACAAATGGATGAAGAGACATTCAGACTTTTTCCAAGTGTAGAACCTCACACCTTGCAGACTTCACATCCATACAGTAAAATCCTTTTCACATTCCTATGCCATTCACACTACCCCTTCTGTCATCTGCCCTCTGTGGGGGTCCCAGCTTCAAAAGATGTAACCCCTGTTGACCTCAGCAATAGCATCTCTGTAATTTGTGCCATTTACTACAAGAAATCACATTAAAAGATGATATTCCATAGTGTCATAATAAATTATTCACCCTTGCCGTGACACTGGGTACAATACAGAGCCTGCCATACAATACACAGAGCTGGGTACAATACAGAGACTGCCGTACAATACACAGAGCTGGGTACAATACAGAGACTGCCGTACAATACACAGAGCTGGGTACAATACAGAGACTGCCATACAATACACAGAGCTGGGTACAATACAGAGCCTGCCATACAACACACAGAGCTGGGTACAATACACAGACTGCCATACAATACACAGAGCTGGGTACAATACAGAGCCTGCCATACAATACACAGAGACTGCCATACAACACACAGAGCTGGGTACAATACACAGACTGCCATACAATACACAGAGCTGGGTACAATACAGAGCCTGCCATACAATACACAGAGCTGGGTACAATACAGAGACTGCTGTACAATACACAGAGCTGGGTACAATACAGAGACTGCCGTACAATACACAGAGCTGGGTACAATACAGAGCCTGCCATACAATACACAGAGCTGGGTACAATACAGAGCCTGCCATACAACACACAGAGCTGGGTACAATACACAGACTGCCATACAATACACAGAGCTGGGTACAATACAGAGCCTGCCATACAATACACAGAGCTACAGGTACAATACAGAGACTGCCATACAATACACAGAGCTGGGTACAATACAGAGACTGCCATACAATACAGAGACTGGTACAATACAGAGACTGCCATACGATACACAGAGCTGGATACAATAAAGAGACTGCCATACAATACACAGAGCTGGATACAATACACAGACTGCAATACAATACACAGAGCTGGGTACAATACAGAGCCTGCCATACAATACACAGAGCTGGGTATGATATAGAGACTGCCATACAATACACAGAGCTGGGTACGATACAGAGACTGCCATACAATACACAGAGCTGGGTACGATACAGAGACTGCCATACAATACACAGAGCTGGGTACAATACAGAGACTGCTATACAATACACAGAGCTGGGTACAATACAGAGCCTGCCATACAACACACAGAGCTGGGTACAATACAGAGCCTGCCATACAATACACAGAGCTGGGTACAATACAGAGACTGCCATACAATACACAGAGCTGGGCACAATACAGAGACTGCCATACAACACACAGAGCTGGATACAATACAGAGCCTGCCATTCAATACACAGAGCTGGGTACGATACAGAGACTGCCATACAATACACAGAGCTGGATACAATACAGAGCCTGCCATTCAATACACAGAGCTGGGTACGATACAGAGACTGCCATACAATACACAGAACTGGGTACAATACAGAGACTGCCATACAATACACAGAGCTAGGTACAATACAGAGACTGCCATACAATACACAGAGCTATGTACAATATAGAGAGTGGCATTCAATATTTTTGTGTGAGTGCGCAGCTGAAAGGTAAATCTGCTACTCTGGTGACTCGGTCCCTCTGGTCACTATTCTCCAACCCTCGATTGTCAGCTGAATATTCAGGGAAGATTTTTATGGAAGCGTATTAACCAGATACACACTCTTTGTTTTCCATAATCTTCTAATCGTTTATTCAATATTCGCTATATTTATACTATACTTGTCACGAATATTGCTTACAAAAGGTTACAAAAAGGTTACACAAGATACATAAAAGAGGAAGTAGTTTCTGCTGTTACGTTCAATATTCAATAATCCATTCTTACAAAATATTACATGTACATTGTGGCTAAGCGTATCCTGTTACATAAAAAGACTTTCTTTCAGTTATGTCTTGTAAGCGGTTCTGCAAAAAGAGCTTGCTATTTCATATACAAAATAATTCAATTTATACAATACTGACAGATTAATTGTTTAACCCCTTATGGACCAAATTTCTGGAAGAAAAGGGAATCATGACATGTCACACATGTCATGTGTCCTTAAGGGGTCAATATTCCTTCAGCCCCCACAGTAGCCGTGTGCAGTATAGCAAGCGGTGTTGCTGGGGGAGAAACTCCTGTGGTGACTGTGTGCGGTATAGCGCAAACAGCTTGGCAGGAGGGGTTGTAAGTAAAAGCTGTGTGCGGTATAGCAAACAGCTGTGCAGAGGGGTTTTCTGTGGTGCCATGTGCGGCATAGCAAGTGGCAGTATGGAGATTATTGAGTACGGGGACAGGGAAGGGTTAAGGGAAGGGTAAATGTGTTTTAACCATATATGCTTTTTGGGTTCTTGTTTGCAATAGATGTAAAATATCTGCCCTGAATCTATTTTGCATAAGGGGAAGGAATTTCACAGGATATTTAGCTTTGGTTGCATTTTAATTGCATAAGGAAAACGGGGGGAAACCGTTAAGCTCCTGCGAGGTATGGTCATAGCGCGGTATAGCACGTTACATTGCGGAGAGAGTGTGGGGGGTTATTTTTGTGATTTGTCGAGTGTTTTGTTGATTGCATTTATATTTGAGCCTTCTGATGTATATCTCTCTTTGTAGCCTGTTTGTTTGCATTAAGTTGTGTCCTGTTTGTCTTTTCCCTTCTATTCTTTTGACTGGGTACTCACAGGGTTAATTTTGTGTCTGTAAATGCTCTCTTTCTCCTGTTTGCCTCCCCCCGCTCCATCCACAAATCCTCGGCCCCCCCAGCTCCCCCTCTGTGCTCCCTCCTCCCCCTTTCCTGCTGTATTTCCACAGCTAGCTCTGTTCTCTCTGGCTTCCTTTGCACTGTCTGTATTTACACGGCTTTTCTACACATAATTCTCTCTCTCTCTGCCTCTCTTGTTGTGACATACGTCTTGGTTAAGGGGGAGGATGGGTCAGAAGTTTGTGCAGCCGCTCACTGAGGGCTGGCTAGCGTGTGAGAAAAAGGGAGGGGGAAAAAGGCAAGGTGCAGAAAGTACTCATAACACTCTGACTCATAACACTCTGATTGGTGGGCTTGAAATCCATTCAATCACAGTGCTCTGTGTCATTTTACACAGCGTGGAAAAGTTCTTTGGAATTTCTCCATGCTGTGTTGTAACGGACCGTTTTGCACACAAGAGGTTAAAACCCGCTTAGGTGATATTCCACTTTCTAGATGCACAGACAGCTACTGCGAGCACCAATCTCCCGAACTGCAAACACACAAATTCACCAACTCCCGAACAGGAAACACACGAACCCTGGAAACAGCCGAACAGGAAAAGCATACACTCATTTTACACTCCTGGCAATCGGCATACAATCCAATTCCCCCAATAACGAGACGACACTTCGTTTTGAGGGTCAAGCAGAATCTGGTTTACTGGGGCTAACTGCCTGGCTTTTATGCAGGTCTCCCAACTGGTGGACACTCCCCTAGGGGACCAGATGGGAGACTGGGACACAAAGGGTAAAAGGACCAATCACAGACTTACACATTTCAACAATCCCACAATGCATCACAATCCCTCCTCTCTGCCCTGGAGATAATTGGGAAGTAATCCAATTATCTCCAAGGATAGAGGCAAATAGAGAAAATTTATGACAAACTTACCGTAATTTTCTTTTCCTGGCTATTTCTCATGGCAGCATCACTTATGGGGTAGCTCCTCCCTTAGCAGTCACAGGACAGGAATTAATTAGATTAATTAATCAGACTGATAGGTATAAGGAGTCCCTCCTCCCCCTACACCTCAGTCCAATTATAAAGCTGAAATAAAGAATGGGCGGGAACCCTGATGCTGCCATGAGAAATAGCCAGGAAAAGAAAATTACGGTAAGTTTGTCATAAATTTTCTCTATTCCTGGCTAATCATGGCAGCATCACTTATGGGTAATACCCAAGCTTCACAGAAAAATAGGGTGGGAATAATAATCCAAGAAATTACACAAAACTGAAACTCATGCAGCAAAGAAAAGTTTAATATCAACGGGATAAAAAGACCGTAGACAGGACACTCTTTCCAAAGGAGGTGGAAGGAGACTCCACATCAAGTTTGTAGTGCTTCATGAATGTCATAGGAGAAGACCAGGTGGCTGCTCTGCAAATATCATCGTATGGAACCTCTGCCCAGCTAGCCCATGAAGTTGATAATGCTCTAGTAGAATGAGTTCTTATCTCCCGAGGTGGTGATATACCTTTAGAGATATACGCCTTCTTAATTATCAGAGAAATCCAACGTTTCAACATAGATAAAGAAGCCACCTCACCTCTCCTTGCTCCCATCGGCAAAACGAAGAGTTGGTCCGTTTTAAGGAAAGACTCAGAACGTTTAAGATATGCAGACAAGCAGTTCATTACATCCAAACGTTGCCATCTAACCTCCTCCTGAGAAGAGGGGTTGGGGTAAAATGATGGAAGAACCACTTCTTGAGAGAGGTGAAACTGAGAAACTACCTTAGGAAGAAACTCTGGTTTTACTTTCAGACACACCCTATCTTGGTAGAACCGTAAACAAGAAGAAGATGTAGAAAATGCCTTAATTTCTGAAATCCTTCTTGCGGAAGTAATTGCCACCAAAAACAAAGTTTTATACGTCAGGAGAGTAGCATCCAAACTTTTAAGAGGAATAAACAGATCCTCAGTGAGATAATTGAGCACCATAGGAAGGTCCCAAGGAGGGGTAGTAGATCTGGAAGGAGGCCTCAACCTGAAGGCCCTTTTGAAGAACCTGGAAATCAAAGGATCCGAAGCCCATGAGATGTTGCACAAAGCTGAAAGTGCCGAAGACTGAACCTTCAAGGTGCTGAGGCTAAGGCCCTTGTCCAGGCCCTCTTGCAGAAACTCCAAAACTTCAGTATTGCTAGGATGGAGAAAATCCACATTATGAGACGATGCCCAAGTTTGGAACACATCCCAGATCCTATGGTAGCATGAAGAAGTGGAAGCCTGGAGAGCTGAAGGGTATTGATCACTGCCTCCGAGAGACCCAGTAAGAGTCTTTCTTTCTCAAGACCCATACCCCCAGTTTGAGGCGTTCCAGATGAGGATGGAATACAGGGCCCTGCGTTAGCAGATCCTCCATCACTGGAAGAGGCCAAGGTTGTTCCTGGCTCATCATGGCCAATAGGGGAAACCACGGCCTCCGAGGCCAAATTACGGCAATGACTTTCTTGCCTTCCGACCAAACCTTCCGTAGGAACCTGGGTATCATGGGTAGGGGAGGGAAAGCATACCCCAGATCGAACGACCAAGGCAGAGAGAGAGCATCCTGGCCCAGTGCCTGACAGTCCGGATGGAGATAGAAGTAATTCTCCACCTGGTGATTCTGAGATAATGCCATCAGGTCGATCTGGGGCATGCCCCACCGATGAGCAATTTCTGCAAAGATCGCCGGGTGAAGTTGCCATTCTCCCGGAAGAATTTCCTTTCTGCTGAGGAAGTCTGCCGTTACGTTCTCCGAACCTGGGAGATAAATCGCCTTCATGCCTTGAAGATAGGTCATAGCTATAGCCATTAAGGGAGCCAGCTCTTCCAGGAGCAACCTGCTCCTTGTGCCACCTTGGTTGTTCACATATGAAGCCACCGCTCGGTTGTCTGTTTTGATTAGAACCCAAGAATTCCTTAGCCTTGGTAGGAATCTCAAAATGGCCTTGTAAACCGCTCTCAGTTCCCTTAAGTTTGAGTGTAGGCGACTCTCTTCTCGGGTCCACTTCCCTTGAGTCCATACAGAACTGAAGTGGGCACCCCATCCAATTAACTGGCATCTGTTGTAATAACCTTCCAAGGGGGGTCTTCCAACGGGAAGCCTGTTGTCAAATTCCTCTCGCTCTTCCACCAGTTTAAGCCTTTCCTTACGGGAAGGGGAAGAGATATCATCTGTTCCCAATCCGCTTCCACTCTGTTGAGCTGGAGAAGGAAGCAGTTCTGGGCCGGACGGAACTTCCACTGGGCCCACTTCACCCTCTAAGTATGGATTCAAATACTGCCAACAAGGTATGGGGGGGGGGATATATAACCCCAATTAGCAGGCTGAAAACAAGGGGAATTTTTAAGGCTAACCAACCCCACAATTAAACAGAAAACAGTGTCTCCTTCAAACACTTACTTCCCACGCTGCAGTTCAGTACTTACACTGAACCTGACCCAGTTAGTCCTGCTCATGCAGGCTGTTTACTGGGTCCTTCAAATGAAGAGAGGCTGAACTTCATTTGGAACGAACCCACGACAAACGCAGGAAGGTGGCCATAAAATAAAATGTAAAAAGTCCTGTAGAACTTGCTAAGGACAGGAAAAAAGACTGAGGTGTAGGGGGAGGAGGGACTCCTTATACCTATCAGTCTGATTAATTAATCTAATTAATTCCTGTCCTGTGACTGCTAAGGGAGGAGCTACCCCATAAGTGATGCTGGCATGATTAGCTAGGAAACTCCATTAACCACATGGCAGCAAAAAGACTGTAAAAGACATAAAATTACACACTGTTACATTCAGTACATAAAACATACACATTCTACATATCCCCAGATAGCTTAGATCTGAGCGCACATTATTATCGAATGGCGCTCAGATCACATACATACAGTTCAATCGCCGTGGAGCCAAAGTCTTTCCCATAGTCTTTCGTTACACGAATAGGCTCCATGGCATGGCTATCTGGGGTGATGCTGTTTATTCGGTTCCACTACCGAATGCGGAGGTAAGGAGGCTGTCGGCTCAGTGGTGTTCGCACAAATAAGTGTCCGTTTTCAGTTCCATAGTTTGGGCGATGAACACTGCTTGCCGTTCGGGAGGTAAAATGGCCACTGCCACGTGTTCGGCAGACGAACAAAGGCCACCCAGCGTTAATCAATTAAGCTGCGGTTGACGTTGGCAGGTGGGCTTATCCTCTCATGGCCATTTGAGGTAACAAAAAAACCTCTATTTGTTTAATAATACATAGGGATTAAGGAGAGAGCGCAGGTTACTTGTTTTTCTTTGGTTTTTACTATATATTGGGGCTGATGCTGCCCAGTGATGGGAGTGAGCGCAGGACTTATCTTTCTGCATTTGTATCCATTTTTTGTATCAGTCAGCCTTGTTACAATGCAGCAGCCCATACCATGTGTTCCCTATTAAGGGTTAATAATATATAGGGGTGTATATAAAAAAATACCCTTTCTGTCTCATTAGAGATCTTTGCCAGAAGCTCAAGGAAGCAAGGTGAATGGGTAGAGTTAGGACCGACCTGAGGGGGTCTGCCTTGACGAGCGCAGGTAACTTGTTTTTCTTTGGTT